TCAGTGTTCTGTGGCAGCCCCTGAGATATTGGAAGGCTGCTATCATGTCACCCCGTAGTCCTCCTTTTCTTTAAACCAGACATACCCAAGTCCAGCAACCGTTCTTTATATATTTTAGCCTCCAGTTCTTGCCCTTATTTGCGTCAAGCCGCAGATTCATTTTTCTGAAGGTGACTTTAAAAGCTATCAGGGCAGCTCAAGACGGTTTTTTGCCCTACCCTGCCCTAGTGCCCTCCATTGCAACCTCAGCCTGCTGCAGACACAGCTCATGGTTTTAGCTTCAACTGGAGCCACATTTTATTCAGCCGCACCATCAATTCAGCCATTTCTGCATTAGCGTGGCAATTAAAACGCAAAAAGCCCTCACTAATATCTGTGGGCAAACCCCCCCCTCCCCTGAGGTATACATGTTTTTACAGGCAATTTTGTGCCTAAACGAATGCCTTTGGCTCGCTGTAGCACTGCCTCTAATGTACAGATCTTTTTTAAAATGTAATTCAGCAGATTCAAAGGATAATTGGGTTCCAGTTAACATTCGTTCTGGGAAGAGCAAATGAAATTGGATGGTATTAAAAGGAGAAGGAAATAAGTGGTTTGGCCGACTCGACTGCCTTCCTGCCTTTCGTTCCCCTATTTCCCCAATTTGTCTTATTTGGTGGTCTATTTCTTCCACTGAACAGATCCTCAGATTTGTGGAATCCCCTCTGACTACAGTTGCCAAGAACTGGTTCTATTACCCGAGTCAAGGAATTACCAATTTCGATGAATAATCAATCAGTAAATAACAGCCTAATCAAGGAACAGTCATTAACTGTCATAGAGCAAGCCATTTATATAGAGACCAGACCCCACTCCCTTCTGGCACTGATGGTGTTACTTAGTTGGGTAATGAAAGGTCTGTAAGAAGAGCACCAAGCTCAGAGATTACCAGAGATTATCCTCCTCCTCCTCCTCCTCTTCTCTGCAACCCCCTCTCCCTTCTAGCACTGATGATGTTATTAGTTCGGTCTTCAAGAAAACACCAAGCTCAGGTAGCCCAAAGACACCTCAGTCCTCCTCTTCCTCTCCACAGTCCACACTCCCTTCTAATATTGATGATGTTTCCTAGTTGGGTCATGAAACATCTGCAAGAAAATGACCAAGCTCAGAGAGCTCCAAGAACCCCACAGTCCTCCTCCTCCACCTCCTCCTCTCTACAAACTCCATTCCTTTTTAGCACTGATGATGTCACCTAGTTGGGTCATGAAACATCTTCCAGAAAGCAACCAAGCTCAGAGAGCATCAAGGACCCCCATACAAGTTCCATGCTTTCCTGCCATCTTGAAATGGAAACCTGCACAGAAATGACACCATTTCTGGGGGGAAACTAGACGAGACGAGATGAGACGAGAACAGAACAGAACAGAACAGAATAGAATAGAATAGAATAGAATAGAATAGAACAGATGAAGGGAAGGTAGAATGGACTGGAATGGGTTGGAGTGGAGTAGAGTAGAGTAGAATAGAGTAGAGTAGGGTAGAGTAGAGTGGAGTGGAGTGGAATGGAATGGAATGGAATGGAATGGAATGGAATGGAATGGAATGGAATGGAATAGAATAGAATAGAATAGAATAAGGAATAGAATGAATGGAATGGAATAGAATAGAATAGAATAGAATAGAATAGAATAGAATAGAATAGAATAGGGAATAGAATAGAGAATAGAATAGAGAAGAGAAGAGAAGAGAAGAGAAGAGAAGAGAAGAGAAGAGAAGAGAAGAGAAGAGAAGAGAAGAGATGAAGGAATAGAATAGAATAGAACAGAACAGAACAGAACAGAACAGAACAGGAACAGGAACAGAATAGAATAGAATAGAATAGAATAGAATAGAATAGTTGGAATGGACCTTGGAGGTCTTCTACTCCAATTCCCTCATTCAGGCAGGAGACCCTATACCATTTCAGACAGATGGTTGTCCAGTCTCTCTTTAAAAAACCTCCAGTGATGGAGCATCCACAACTTCTGGAGGCAAATCATTCAATTGCTCACGTTAAACCTGGAAGATCTTATCTGCGCTGGCTTTCCTGGACATGGAGGTACGTGGTGGTATTGATGACACAAAGAGCAATCAAGAGAGATACTTTTCAAGGAGGCACCTCTCTGAGAAAATTCCTGAGAAGACAGGAAAGTCCTGATTTGAATTCTCCGGCTGATTTGGGGTTTTGCTTTGAAGACGGGAGAAAATAGCTCCCGGGGAAGATGCCCTCATGAATGGACTCCAGGTTGATGGGGTTGAGAAAAAGTGAGAAGGAAAGATTGCTGAATCTGAGGCCAAGGAAGGGGACTTGAGATCCAACCGGGGGTGGGGCTGCTCGGGAGAGCCCCTAGCTAAGATTCCATGCAGTTCGGAGAACCCCGAAATCCCACTCCTGGCTGGCCCCACCCACCCCACCCTGCCCTTCCCAGGAGTCTCCGCGTGACCCATTTTGGATGCAGGTAAGTGCAGCGCGAAGGCTTGGGGAGGGCGAAAAACAGGCCTCCAAGAAGTTTGGGAAGGCTGGAAATAGGCCCGTTTCTGGCTTCCAGAGAGCCCACCAGAGCCTAGGGAGGCCGTTTTTGCCTTCCCTGAGACTCGAAGAAAGCCTCTGGAGCCCGGAGAGGGCAAAAATGCCCCGCCCTCCATGGTTCAGGAGGCTGACTAGGCCATGCCCACCATGGCCACACCCATCCAGCAACCGGGCGGAGAACCCATTGCTAAAAATTTGTGAAGCCCACCCCTGGATCCAACCTCCTCCATGACACTTGCAGGGAAAAAAAAATGGGGAAAAGAAGGAAGAGAAGGAGGAGGAAATTTCCTCTATCAAATTTTAATTTAAGAATTAAATTAAATTAACAATTAATTGGTGGAAGCAGCAAAACTGGCTACTTTGATTAAAGAAATGAACAGAAGTACTTTTGTTTCCACGTGGAAACCGTTTCTGAACTTCATGCTCAACGTGGAAAAGAAGGAAAGATAGGGGAGGAATCAACGTTGAGCATGAAGTTCAGAAACGGTTTCCACGTTGATTTGGGGTTTTACAGATTAGACCGATGGATCTTTATGGAAATCACTTGTTCATGCTATTATAGAAAAGCAAAAAGCTTTGATTTGATGTTAATGCCTTATTTTACCGTAACAGAGAGAGTTGGAAATCAATGCTTATCTTTCTTTTTTCCTCCCGTATCTTTCCCCACTTTTCCCCTTTCCTCTCCCCCCCTCCGTTGTTCTTCTATTCACTTTTGTATTTTGTATTTTATAAACACTCTGTCACTTGATTAAAATGTTTGATTTAAAAAAAGAAGAAGAGGAGGAGGAAATTTCCTCTATCGAATTTTAATTTAAGAATTCAATTTCATTAATCAATTCAATCTAATTAAAGTTAAGAATTAAAGTTACATGCATTTATTACATGTAAAAGAATGGAATTTATTAAATTTAGTCTAAGAAGCAATGGATGGAAATGGATCAAGGAGAAAAACAATCTAGAACTTCCCCAACAATGAGGACAATCAACCAGTGGAACTACCGGCCTCCAGAAGTTGTGACTGCTCCATCGCTGGAGGCTTTTAAGAGGAGACTAGACAGCTATCTGCCTGGAATGGTATAAGGTGTCCTGCTTGAGCATGGGGTTGGACTAGAAGACCTCCAAGGTCCCTTCCAACTGTTGTTATTCTATTCCATTCTAATTTATTCCACGAGGTCCTGAATTTCAAGGGATGGTATAAAATTCATCGAAGTCGATATATAACTATGCTATGTTGGTTTGCCCACTGTAGGAGAGAAGTGTTGAGCTCAATAATTTTGGCAGATTGCTGGAGAAGCTTGCCTGTTTAAAAGCGGGTAGACGATGGGTCTGTATGGATTCATTGGGAAATTGATCGCTGTTCATTCACTGAATCATTGATCGTTAATGGGAAAAATGATCCAATTCTGAGATCTTCCACGCACATGCCTCTGCATTGTAATGATCCCAATCTGTACAGATTGAAAGATTCAGTCCAAATGCATTTTCTAACAATCGGTATCTTTATGATTTGGTTTTCATATTAATTCGGGTTGAGAAGGTGTGATTGGAGCCATAGAGTCCATTTCTGCTCAGGGCTGGAATCCAAATGTGAAAAGATCTCCTTGAAGACATTCAAAGAACAAGAAGATCAAACTCAATTGATTTTTCAATCCGGTTGGGTGCATTTTTGCCCACTTCTCCTTAAAAAGACCCCACTACATATATCCCATAATGTAAAAAAAATATGTTGAGACTCTGGAAAGAGTGCAGAGAAGAGCAATGAACAGGATTAGGGGACTGGAGGCTAAAACATGAAGAATGATTGCAGAAACTGGGTACATCTAGTTTGATGAAAAGAAGAACTAGGGGTGACATGATAGCAGTCTTCCAATATTTGAGGGGCTGCCACAAAGAAGAGGGAGTCAGGCTATTCTCCAAAGCACCTGAGGGCAGGACAAGAAGCAATGGGTGGAAACTAATCAAGGAGAGAAGCAACTAAATTTCCTGACAGTGAGAACAATTAATCAGTGCCTCCAGAAGTTGTGAATGCTCCAACACTGGAAGGTTTTAAGAAGAAATTGGATAACCATTTGTCTGAAGTGGTGTAGGGTTTCCTGCCTAGGCAGGGGGTTGGACTAGAAGACAGAGGTCCCTTCCAACTCTGTTGTTCTATTCTATTCTATTCTATTCTATTCTATTCTATTCTAATTCATGGGTCTATCCAAAGGGTTCTCAATCAAGGACCTTCTCACCAACCCTGAAGGTTGAAGTTTGTATCCATTCTGGTCCAAGCTTGGTTGACTCTTTTCTTCTCCTCTATTCCTCTTGAGCACTTACCTTGGAGAAGAGAGAAGGGGGAGGAGAAGACAGGAGGTGGAGCTGCATCCAAGGGAGATCACCTTTTTGCTAACTGACCAAACCTGTTCTCTTTGACTGCATTGCTGAGCTCAGACCACGGAAGGTCTGTGGGTGTGCGGCAGTTTTCTGTGCCATGATGAAAGTATCTCTGGCTACCTGGCTGATTTTTGCAGCATCTGTAGACCTTGGTAAGATCATTTTTTTTTTTTTTGGAGAAATATTTGGGAAATGTAAAAAAGAAGTGGCACTGGATCTTGGACAAGGGTGGTCTGGTTTCTTCATAGGGTGACAAAAATATATTGTGGTCCCTCAGAAGTAGCCTTTGCATGGTAGGAACTAGTTGATGCTGATAGAGAGGAGAAGGAAGAAGGAAGAAAGGGGAAATGGAAGGGGAAGGGGAAGAAGGGGGAAGAAGAAGAAGAAGAAGAAGAAGAAGAAGAAGAAGAAGAAGAAGAAGAAGAAGAAGAA